TTGAGCGTTCTTTGCTATCAAATAAAACGGCTGCCTCCTGGCTGGACCACGCCAAGTTCGTTCAACAGAACAACACAAAGTAAGCGAAAATACACAATACCCGGGTTTTAGCAACAGCAATTAGCTCTTTGAAGTCCATCATTCTAAATAGGGATTAATTGCCATAGTTGGAATTCCTCTGATCCTGCCCATTTTTCTGAAGGAATCCTGCTCAACAGACTCTGCGGGAATCCTTTTTTTTTCCACTTTAGGAGTTTCCTAAAATGGAAATAAAGGATTCCCGCGGAGTCTGTTGAGCAGGATTCCTGCAGAAGTCTGATATAATCTCTTCCCAATTCTTTTCTCCTTTTGACCTTCCATGTGTGCTCTTAAGATGCATCTCTCCTAACCTGATCTTTGGAGAGCCGCTAAATCCACCCCTTTAAAATATGCAAATTAAAAATGCCTGGATTTCTGCAAGATACAGCATTTGAGCATAAGCCAACAGGCTGACAGGTATGTGTTGCATTTACAGGTAGTTGTTGATGTACGGCCACAGCCCAGCCCAACATTTCTATTGCCAGGCAAGACATACAGTTGTTCATTTGAGTTTTGTCGCATTTTACGACGTTGCAGGAATTGGGTACGGCCGGTCTAGAGAAAAGAAGGACTAGGGGTGACATGATAGCAGTATTCCAGTATTTGAGGGGCTGTCACAAAGGGGAGGGGGGTCAACTTATTTTCCAAAGCACCAGAAGGCAGGAGAAGAAGCAACGGATGGAGACTGATCGAGGAGAGAAGCAACCTGGAATTAAGGAGAAACTTCGTAACATTGAGGACAATTAGCCAGTGGAACGGCTTGCCACTTGAAGTTGTGGGTGCTCCCACACTGGAGGTTTTAAAGAAGAGATTGGACAGCCATTTGTCTGAAGTGATTTAGGGTCTCCTGCTTGCGCAGGGGGTTGGACTAGAAGACCTCCAAGATCCCTTCCAGCTTCTATTCTATTCTATTCTATTCTATTCTATTCTATTCTATTCTATTCTATTCTATTCCTTATTTCTATTCTAATTCCATATATTCTATTCTATTCTATTCCTTATTTCTATTCTAATTCCATATATTCTATTCTATTCTATTCTATTCTATTCTATTCTATTCTATTCTATTCTATTCTATTCTATTCTACTCTACTCTACTCTACTCTACTCTATTCTCTGGAGGTTTTTAAGAAGAGATTGAACAACCATTTGTCTGAAGTAGTCTAGGGTCTCCTGCTTGCGCAGGGGGTTGGACTAGAAGACCTCCAAGGTCCCTTCCAGCTCTATCCTGATTAAGTTGTTCAACAAATCACTGCAGCTGTGAAGTTAGTAACCTGGTTGTTAAGTAAATCTGGCATCTCCATTGACTTTGCTTGTCAGAAGGTTGCAAAAGGGGATCACGTGATCCCGGGACAGTACAAAATGTCATAAATATGAGCCAGTTGCTAAGTGTCCCAATTTGATCTCATGACGTCACCACAATGGTAATTAAGTGTGAAAAAAAGATCTTAAGTCCCCTTTTTCAGTGCTGTTGCAACTGCAAACGGTCACTAAATGAACTGCGGTTAAGTCGAGGACTGCCTGCATAGATTTAATTTTAAAGGCAGTCTGGCTACTTTAAGCATATGCAACTAAAGAACCCCTCCCCCCTTTGTTTCTCTGCTCCCCAGAAATCCATCAGTAGCTCATCCACGGTCCAGCTGAGCCTCAAAAGATACCCACATAAGTCCGGGTTTATTTTTTCTGTCCGGCGTGCGCCAGCGGACCACCAGCGGGGACTCGTCTCCGAAGACGATCAGGTCATGAGATGCTGGAGCCACCTAAAAAAGGAGAGAAGGAAACGGTCAACCCGGCCAGCAGACTTCTGAAAAATCTTTTTTTTCCTCGACAGCCTTTGGAACTCACCGCCACAGGATGAGAGAAGGCCACGGCCAGGGAGGTGTTTTCCCTGTTGACGTAGACGCAGCGAATGGTTGGTTCCAGATCACCTAAGCAGGAACCGAGTGGGAAACAAAGGCATCTGAACGGGGGGAGTGGAAGATGGGTTTTTATAAGTGTTGTCCTGTACCAGAAGCATGGGCCAGATATATGGAGTTTTATCCCGTGGGATGGTGCTGGTTAGGGAAATTCTGAGAGTTGAGATCACCGGGCCTGCAAAGGCTTCTAATTCACGAGAGCATCAATAATCTCCTTTTAAAAAAAGAATATTTCTAGCTCAGGGTTGGACTGTGGGGTGTTTGGTGGCCTCTAGGCTGGGTGGATTTCTTGCAGACGTTTCATGACCCAACTAGAGAACAGCATCAGGCCTAGAAGGGAGAGAGGTGTGCAGAGTGGAGGAGGAGGAGAAATGGAAGAAAAGAAGGAGGAGGATGTGAAGGAGGAGGAGAGCAGAAGGAGAAAGAGGAAGACTGTGGGGGTCCTCGGTGCTTTTTGAGCTGGGTTGTTTTATTGTGGACGTTTCATGACCCGACCAGGTAACGCCATCAGTGCTAGAAGGGTGTGGGAATTGCAGAGCAGACAGGAAGGAGAAATGGAAGAGGAGGAGGAGGAGGAGGAGGAGGAGGAGGAGGAGGAGGAGGAGGAGGAGGAGGAGGAGGAGAAGAAGAAGAAGAAGAAGAAGAAATAATATCTGTGGGGTCTTTAGTGGTCTTGAGCTTAGTTGTTTACTTGCAGATGTTTCATGACCCAACTAGGTAACATCATCAGTGCTAGAATGATGTGGGAATTGTAGAGCAGAAGGGAAGGAGAAATGGAGGAAGAGAAGCAGAAGGGGAGGAGGAGGAGGAGGAGGAGGAAGAGGAGGAGGAGGAAGAGGAGGAGGATCTGTGGGGTTTTTAGTGGTCTTGAGCTTGCTTATTTTCTTGCAGACGTTTCATGACCCAACTAGGTAGTGCTATATTGACCCTCGCACTGATGACGTTTCCTAGTTGGGTCAGGAAACGTCTGCAAGAAAACAACCAAGCTCAGAGACCACCAACTCCTTTAACTTTCTGCCTCATTTCTCTTGGCTTCCAATGTCCTCAGCAGCAAACAGAAGATTCTGTGGGGATAATTTTGATTTATCTGGAGATAAACCTCTCGCCCTGCCCCCTTCCTATCCCGGGGAGGCCTGAGACAAAACCCCTCCTCAAATCCGCCTTAGGCCGAATTTCCTTAAAAACAAGATGGCGGCCTGGCTCCTACCTCTGCCCAGAAGCCAGCGGTGGTAGAACCAGGCGCTCTGATCGTTGGGGTCCGTGAAGAAAGCGTTTTGCACCAGTTCCAGCTCTGGAAGAGAGGAGATTGGATCAATTTTTTTCATTCTTATCCCTGAATGTTTTAAATATTTTTCATGGTTTTTATATCAGGGGTCTTCAAACTTGGCCTTTTTATGACTTGTGGACTTCAACTCCCAGAATTCCTCAGCCAGCGTGCCTGGCTGAGGAATTCTAGGAGTTGAAGTCCACAAGTCATAAAAGGGCCAAGTTTGAAGACCCGTTTTTATATAATAATAATAATAATAATAATAATAATAATAATAATAATAATAATAATAATAATTTTCATGGTTTTATATTGTTATATATATTTATTATGTTTTAAGCCACCCAGAGTTGCTTCACAATGGGATGGGCTGCATATAAATTTATATTATAATAATAATAATAATAATAATAATAATAATAATAATAATAATAATAATAATAATAATAATAATGTTCATGGTTTTATATTGTTATATATATTTATTATGATATTTTAAGCCACCCAAAGTTGCTTGACAATGGGATGGGCTGCATATAAATTTAATATAATAATAATAATAACAACAACAACAATAATTTTCATGGTTTTATATTGTTATATATATTTATTATGGTGTTTTAAGCCACCCAGAGTTGCTTGACAATGAGATGGGCTGCATATAAATTTAATATATAATGATAATGATGATAATGATAATAATGATAATAATAATATACTACTACTACTACTACTAATAATAATAATAATAAACATAAACACAGAGGAGCAGAAGAGGAATTGGAACCCATGGCAACTGCCAAGAAACAGCTGATATTTTTAGCCCTAAATATCAACAAGAAGCATTTTCACATCCAAAGTGCCACGTCGGAGGTAGTCCTAGCAACTCCGGCACTGGAAAAAAAAGTGACTTAACGACTGGTCCTCGCATGTACGACCGTAAATTCGGGTGCTTGCAACTGGCAAGGATTTATGATGGTTGCAGTGTCCTGGAGACATGTGACCGTCATTTGTGATTTTCCCAGCCAATAGGGAAGCCGGCAGGAAAGGCCGCAAATGGCGATTATCGGGTGTCTCACTTATCGGCTGCTCCACTTAACGACCAATTTTCCACTCTCCAATTATGGTCGTAAATTGGGGACCACTGCTACGGCAGCTGACTTTTAACCCAGGGGGAAAACCTGGTCCAGACTGAACTGCAGGTTGAATTCTCCCTCCGGCAAGGAGAGAGACGAATCTTAATTTTACTTCTTGGATACCCCTGTTGGTGGACATCCCTAAAAGACGGTGGATCCTGGTTTGTTCCGAGCTGGGCACCTGTTTTTCCTCACATGGAACGAAAGCACCAACCCAGACCAAAAAAAGCCACACACACACACACAAAAAGACAAGTAAAATTGCTCCAGGGGGGGAAAAATGGCAGCATTGGATGCACAGCGATTATGCCAAGTTTTGGTGATCCGAGAACGGTTGCTACCGTGGCTTTTGTAAACAGAAACCGCTCAACATTTTTCGATCATGAGAAAGCTGCGATCAGGCAGGTGTGGCTGGCTTGGGTTTTTTTTGTTCCTTTTCTTATTTCTAAAGGGGCTGAAAAGGGAATGAGAAAAAGGAGGAGGTTAAAAGGGAACCTGTCTTGGATACTGTCACTCTCCCTGGAGAGGGTTATGATTAATTACCTTTTAATGCTCTCCTTGTCCAAAGGAATTTGTGAAGCTTACCCTCTGTTTATTTAATCTTCCGCAAACTTTTTTTTTTAATTATTATTTTTGGAGGGGGATGGTTAAGAGGAGAACCAGGGCTCAAAAGGAAAAAGGAAGGAAGGAAGAAGTTAAGAAAGAAGAGAAGGAGGAAAAAAGAAAGGAAGAAGTTAAGAAAAAAAGAGAAGGAAGAGGAAAGGAGAGGAAGGAAGGAGGAAAAAAAGAAAAGAAGAAGAGAAGAAAAAGAGGAGGGGAGAAGGAAGGAAAAAAGAAAGGAAGAAGTTAAGAGAAGAAAAAGAGAAAAGGAGACAAGAAGAGAAGGAGAAGAGAAGAGAAGAGAAGAGAGAAAAGGAAAAGTTAAGAGAAGGAAGGAAGGAAGAAGTTAAGAGAAGAAGAAGAGAAAAGGAGAGGGAAGAAAAAAGAAAGGAAGAAGTTTAAAGAGAAAAAAGAAGGAAGAGGAGAGGAGAGGAGGGGAGGGGAGAGGAGGGGAGGGGAGAGAAAGGAAGGAAGGAAGAAGGAAAAAAGAAAGGAAGAAGTTAATAGAAGAAAAAGAGAAGAGAAGAGAAATGGAAAAAGGAAAGGAAGAAGTTAAGAGAAGAAAAAGAGAAAAGGAAAGGAGAAGAGAAGGAAGAAAAGAAAAAGGAAAAGTTAAGAGAAGGAAGGAAGGAAAAAGAAAGGAAGAAGTTAAGAGCAGAAAAGGAAGAGGAGAGAAGAGAGATGGAAGGAAAAAAGGAAGAAGTTAAGAGAAGAAAAAGAGAAAGAAGACGAGAAGAGAAGGAAGAAGGAAAGAAAAAGAAAAGTGAAGAGAAGGTAGATAAGAAAAAACAGCTACAGTCATTGACTTACAAACATTAATTCAGCCATCATTCAAATTTAGCCCTAAAAAAAGCGATTTATGACCAGTCCTCACACTTACGACCGTCACAGCATCCCCACAGTCACCTGCTCAAAATTGATAACTGGCCTGTATTTATGACAGTTGAACTGTCTCGGGGTCACCATTTGTGACCTTCCCAGCCGGCTTCCAAGTCAATGGGGGGAAACCCAATTCATTTAATGACTGCGCGATCCACTTAACAACAGTAGTGATTCCCCATAGCAAAAAAAAAAAAAAAAGCCACAAAATCAGGTGCGACCCGCTTAACCGCCTAGCTTAAGAGTGGAAATTCTGGCCTTGTCATACGTCGAGGACTACTCGTATTCCAACGACGTGAGGAAAAACATGCAGGTTAAATAATAGCCTGTGTGAAGGGTGAACTTGGGATCGCGGGCACAAAAACTAAGGAGTGATCTCCTGCCTGAAAAGTACTTCTGAGGTAAAAAAATAACCCACGAAACTTCAGATATGCTTTTTCACTGCCCAGAAATGATTTGTGAGAGTTAATAACAATAAGAGGAAAACTCCCTTTCCCAGACTGAGTTGCCAGACCTTTAAAAGGGAAAAAAAAACACCCTTTCAGAAAGGAACATCTGATAAAGCCACTGAAAGCTCAACTGGGATAAAGGAATCTGTCCAAAAATTGATTTACGGCACAATTAAAAGTAGGTGGTGCACCGTCATGAAAAGAAGGACGAAGTTTGGGCTTCTTCTGACGATCAGAAAGAAGGAACCGAACGGTTTCCCCGGCTGATAAAATCGGCTGCTTTTGGAGGGTTTGGCAAGAGCGGCTGGCATGGATTCAATCACGGGTTTGAGAGACTCAAATAATTAAATAATTAAATAATTAAATAAATAAATAAAGAGATTCAAAGGAAAACCAAAAACCAAAATGAGATGGGGTGGTGATCAAGAGAGGAGAGATTCAAAAAATTTAAAAAAAAAAAATAGAAATAAGAGATTCAAAGAAAAACCAAAAAGCAGCAAAAATGAGATGGGGTGGTGATCAAGAGAGGAGAGGAGAGCAGTTCAGAAATATGGTTTATTTGCCTTTTGATGAGAAGCAGCAAGCAGCGGGAAATGGACGGGCTACACATCGGTTCCTCAACCTCATCTACTTTAAGACCTTTGGAGTTCAACTCTATCTACCTATTATCTCTCTAATTGTCTGTCTGTCTATTTCTAATTCTGCATCATCTATAATCTAATTGTCTGTATATATAATCATCTATTATCTAATTGTTTGTACCTACCTACCTACCTACCTACCTACCTACCTATCCATCCATCCATCCATCCATCCATCCATATCTATCTATCTATCTATCTATCTATCTATCTATCTATCTATCTATCTATCTATCTATCTATCTATCTATCTATCTATCTATCTATCTATCTATCTATCTCCTTATCCATCCATCCATCTCCTTATCCAGAGGTCGACTCCTAGACCCCTAACTTGCGGGGTGCCTCAGGGGTCGGTCCTCTCCCCCCTTTTGTTCAATATTTATGTGAAGCCGCTGGGGGAGATCATTCGTGGCTTTGGGGTGGATTTCCATCAGTACGCTGACGACACTCAGCTGTACATCTCCACCCCAGGCCACCCCAACGATGCCCTTGACGTGATGGCCC